TTTTGAATGGGGAAAAATGCAACGCTCAATTTGGCCGCTCTATCGAATGAAGCCCCGCCTTCTGCGTAAAAGAGCCAATCGCTAATCGGTAAAGTCAGCGCGTCACTGCAGCTGCCATTAGAAGTCCCGGTTGCTATAGAAACAGTCATCATTCTGAGACGTGCGCTCAGGACTGCGCATGCGCACTGGCTGATCTAGCCTGAAAAATAAGCTTTTTTTAACGCTATTGGAGCATAATGAGCAATATTTATGAGGCAGTTGTTGTCAGTTTTCATTGGTGATTTCAAATATGAAACCTAATCGTAAGCTTGGTGAACAGTTTGGGAGAATTTGATGTTTCCCCATTCAAAGAGATAGGATCTGCACTTGCATGCCCGAGAGGCGTTTCAAAGATGGCCGCCGAGTGACATGACTCGCCTTAAAGGGACTTTGATATTATTTAGTACAAATAATTTTAAATGTTCATACTGTTTGTTATTATTTATATATTCTGTCAGATTCAAACCTGCATTGCCTGCATGAGCACAAAGGCTTTGTCTTAGAGCTAACCACCAGGCCATGGCTCAGATTTTTCAAGTTTTACATTAAAACTTTTCAAAGTCATGTATGCTACTGTATACCAGTTCTGTCTGCCTGTGAAGCATGTGAGTGAGGCATGTTTTGCAGGGGTAGCTTCATGCATTATGTAGCACGGCCAGAGCCACGCTTCCAGTGAGGAAAGGCACATCGCCTATGGAGAACAGGGAAATCTAACCTGGATTTGACATTTCCTAATATCCTACTCTAAAAGTTTTTTGTTTCAGGGAGATAGGGACGGTAATTGCTCCACCACAAGAAAGACCGGCGATCCTACTGGGTATTGTGGCTGACTGTGGGGACGAGGAGAGATTGGAACGCGGTAATTGCGAAGACAAGGGGCCTGAGAATAAATGGAGAAAAAAATAGTTCCTCACTGTCAGCGCTGGGAAGGTCAAAAGTACAAGCGTGTGATATCCGCGCATGTTACAGCATATTATGCACAACGCACACATGGGATCTGAATCTTTTCTTAGATACCCAATGAGGCTGAGATGATCCGTGCTGAGGTAACAAGACAGGAGCCACCAGATGCATCATGTCAACAGCGTGAGGTTACGGTTAATATAGCGACGAGGTCCCGGCTCTCCAAAAATCACTATTCCATTATTTGATTAACGCGTCGCTGCTGTTGTCACAATACATACATTTCCCTCGTAAGATGAAAGACAAACAGGCACAATTTATTTCTCCAGATTAAATATTGATCAGCGGTTCTATACCGAGCGTCAGGTGTCTGTCTGAAAAATGAACGCAAAAGGGTTTTATGGTACAGATACAGTCTTTTGGCTGCGTTCACCTTGCTGTCCTTCGACATGAGATTAATCGCTGCTAGGTAGGGGTGGGCGGTATGACCAATTTAATATCAGAGGAACTATATACACTGAAAAAAATAAGGTTTAGAAACAATTTTCACTCAGAAATAGTTTGTAAAATTCACAATTAATTACAAAGACTCTGCAAGTAACGCATTGTAAAATTTTTGAGGTTGACAATATTTGTTTACGGTGTATTTCATGACACTGGAAATATAGCAAAATAATGATTTATATTTTAATAACCATAGGACAGTGTTTTATTTTATTTTTAAAAAATCACTATAATCCAGTGAATTGAAAGTAAATTTGATTATTTTCTCTTTTTATTTACAGTAGAACTTGTTCTACTCAAATATGATTATTCATTGCAAAAAGAATAAATCTCACCTTTTGTAATGTAGTGTAAAACACGTGTTGCACATAAAAGCGAGAAAACAGTAAAATGTACATTATGAATCTTAATTTCTGATTTGATTCTGATTGAATCGGTTGTTAAAATTGGCAATAGTCTGTAAAATCTTACATTATTGCATCAAGTTTACTTACAGGAGAACTATTATTTATAGTAGAACTTGTTGGTTGCAATTTAAAAGATGATTATTCATTACAAAAAAGAATAAATCTCATATTTTATAATCCACAACACTTTGTATGTTGCACATAAAAGACCAAAAACAGTCAAATAAACATTATAAAGCTCATTTCTGGCTTAATTGTGATTTTAATTGCTTGAAACTGTTGTTTACAAAAAGCAAATAGTCTTTAAAATTCTATATCATTGCATCAAGTTATAATTTTAAACATTACCTAATTTAAGTATTTTATCAATCAGTCTTCCACCTGTCTTAGTTTAGATTAACAAAACACCTAAAACAGTCAAATTAACATGATACATCTAATTCCAGACTTAATTCTGATTGGGATTCTGTTTGAAACCATTGTAAAAAAAAAAAAAAAAGCCAATATACTGTAACATTCTACATTATTGCATCAAGATACAAGTTTCAACCTTAATATTAGAACTCAAACCTAATTTAAGTACAACATCAATCAGTCTTCCTCCTGTCTTAGTTTAGATTTCAACAGTCTAAATCGGAGAGAGGACGGTCAACTAGAATGGGAATGACTGTGATGCATTGTTATTGTTACGATACATGATTCACAGTGCAATAAGTATTGCCGTTTTTTTTTACAGTGCAAATACACCAAGTATTGCAGTACATCAATCTTTCTTTATTTGACTGCTGTGAGATGTTTATATGACAATCCTTGCAAAATCATGTGTCAGACTCATTCTTCTAACAGTGTCAAAAAAGCCAGAAAAAATGAAACGCAGTGTAAACAATCCCATGTCTTGAGTACTCGTAAACTCTAGGGATGTGAATTAATCTATTTCTAATGAAAAATGCATGCTTATATTTGTAATAACTCCTTCAAAAACAGCCAGAAACCTTGGAGTTATGAATGACGATCAGCTGACTTTCTCATTGCTAAAACTGTCCGGTCCTGCAGATTTGCTTCATTCAACATCAAGAAGATCAGGCTCTTTCTTTGGGAACATGCAACACAACTCCTTGTTCAAGCTCTTGTTCTATCCAGGCTGGACTATTGCAATGCTCTCTTGGCAGGTCTTCAAACCATTACAATTAATCCAGAACGCGGCAGCAAGATTAATTTTTAACGAGCCGAAAAGAATGCACATCACACCTCCGTTAACAATTTGCACTGGCTACCCTCAAAGAAGCACAAAATCACCTTCATAGACTTTTAAATTAAATGTTCCCTCCTGGTGGAATGACCTGCCAAACTCAGTCCTTAGCCATCTTCAAGAATCGGCTAAAAACACATCCGTTCCATCTTTATTTGACCCTCTAACTCTAGCACTCTCTATTCTAATTCTATTCTTAAAAAAAACAAAAAAAAAGTTTGCTTCCATTGTCCTCATTTGTAAGTTGCTTTGGATAAAAGCATCTGCTAAGTGACTAAATGTAAATGTAAAAGACATGCATTAAATGACTACAAATCGAGTTCAAAACGGGGGTTCAGGCAGCCACATGAGAAGTGATGAGCCATACCTTCCGAGTGTCTGTAGACGCAAACACTTTTCCACGTGGGTTGAAGCCTGTTGTTCCATGAGCACTGAAAGCAATTTCCTCCAGCCATTTGGGAACTTCCTGTTGGGCCTGAGAGATGAAAGTTTATGTTGTTTTATTGAGATCTGAGTGTACTGGACATTCCCACACAGAATCTGCAACATTTATCATTAAAAATATTCCATTATTTTTATTTGTGAGCACATAAAATATGGTAAACCAATGTTTTTTGTAGAATGTCAAGCAAACACATTTGATTATTTACCATATTTAACGTGCTCTGTTTTTGAATGCTCAATATTTATGTGGATAAAAACCTAATTTAAATCTGTTCTTCATATAAAGTAATTTTATAGGCACAATATGAATGTGCACAATTAAATAAGATTGCATAATTAAAGAATAAACACTGCTGTTAAGTGCCTTGGACGGAATATGAAAAGTACGAACCCCTGACAGAACTTTGACCAGAGAGCGAGCTAATGGAGTGTCAGACTCTGGGATAAAAAAGGACACGGCCTGACCGATGTTCCCGCAGCGTCCAGTTCTTCCGATGCGATGGACGTATTCATCGATGCTGCTGGGCAGGTCGAAATTCACAACGTGCTGGACCTGTTCAATGTCCAGGCCTCTGGCAGCGACAGACGTGGCCACCAGCACCGGACACTGGCCTGTGCGAAAATCACTGAGAGCCTTCTCTCGCTCTCGCTGCTCCCGATCACTATTCGGAAAATAAATAAAATTCAATTAAAAGCTTTGGTCAGAGAGGATCTGTAATAACATGCATCTATAACTGCCTTGTTTTATTCAACACATTATATCAGCATGAACACGTTATTGGAGAGAAAGGGACAGGAAAAAAAAATACCCATGGATGCTTGTAGTAGAGAGCTTCTCCTGACAGAGAAATGTTGCAATGAAATCAGCACTTCTTTTGGTTTCAACAAAGACCATCGTGCGTTCATTCCCTGTAATTGCAAACAAAGCGCCATAAAATGTATCTGTTTGCTGAGGATATGAACATCGAAGTTGATGTCAACATTAAGTTCCCCTTTTAGACTTGCACTCTATTCATTTACTGCTTGTTTTCTTAAAAAAAAAAAAAACTAACACTAGCTTTTCAAATTTTTTGTATTCTATCTGTTTTCTTTTTATTTATTGTATAATTAAAAAAAAAACTTGTACTGTGTTAAGCTAAATGAGACTTGTTATAACACTTGCGTATTGCTCTTTTGTTGATTTTGATTGCTTCCATTGTCCTCATTTGTAAGTCGCTTTGGATAAAAGCATCTGCTAAATGTCTAAATGTAAATGTAATATTTTATTTAAAACATTTTAATGATGTTTAACTAATTAACTGTTTTCTGATTGAATCAAAATGAATCATTTTAGGTGCTTTTTTACCCCCTTAAACTGGTTAAACAGTCCACATTAATAACAGAAATTAATGTTAATTTCCTCAATCCTAATAAATTGAAATTATTTTGCAAAAAAAAAAAATCCAAATTTTTGGTAAGATTTTGATAACATTTAGGAATCATTGGTTGAAATTATTCAGTGGTTTCATATTTTTGCTAGGGACATGTCTTTTAGATTAATTTAAGGCAATTTTCAGTATTTCCGCATGGATACAAACAATTGCGCTGTGGTTATGTTGTCTTTTCACATCTCAACTACTGTTTATAATGGTTTGGTAGCAAAGGAGAGCAACAGAACCACCACAGAGAGCAAGAAAGGAAGGAAAATGGATGGAGTGCAAGAG